GAATAGAGCACTGTGGTCTCCACCTTCCTCCCGCCTCCTCCCGCCTCCCGCCATCCCTGGGTGGCTGCGATCTGCGAGACTGTCGTCACTTTCGAGGGCTGCTGGGGTGGCCAGCGGAGTGACGCCCCACGGGGACTCAGATTAGACCTCGCCATCCCTGGGGGGCTGCGATCTGTGAAACTGTCGCCACTTTCGAGGGCTGCTGGGGGGCCCAGCGGAGTGACGCCCTACGGGGATTCAGATTAGACCTCGCCATCCCTGGGGGGCTGCGATCTGTGAAACTGTCGCCACTTTCGAGGGCTGCTGGGGGGGCCAGCGGAGTGACGCCCTACGGGGACTCAGATTAGACCTCGCCATCCCTGGGGGGCTGCGATCTGTGAAACTGTCGCCACTTTCGAGGGCTGCTGGGGTGGCCAGCGGAGTGACGCCCTACGGGGACTCAGATTAGACCTCGCCATCCCTGGGGGGCTGCGATCTGTGAAACTGTCGCCACTTTCGAAGGCTGCTGGGGTGGCCAGCGGAGTGACGCCCCACGGGGACTCAGATTAGACCTCGCCATCTCTGGGGGGCTGCGATCTGTGAAACTGTCGCCACTTTCGAGGGCTGCTGGGGTGGCCAGCGGAGTGACGCCCTACGGGGACTCAGATTAGACCTCGCCATCCCTGGGGGGCTGCGATCTGTGAAACTGTCGCCACTTTCGAGGGCTGCTGGGGGGCCCAGCGGAGTGACGCCCTACGGGGATTCAGATTAGACCTCGCCATCCCTGGGGGGCTGCGATCTGTGAAACTGTCGCCACTTTCGAGGCTGCTGGGGGGCCCAGCGGAGTGACGCCCTACGGGGATTCAGATTAGACCTCGCCATCCCTGGGGGGCTGCGATCTGTGAAACTGTCGCCACTTTCGAGGGCTGCTGGGGGGCCCAGCGGAGTGACGCCCTACGGGGACTCAGATTAGACCTCGCCATCCCTGGGGGGCTGCGATCTGTGAAACTGTCGCCACTTTCGAGGGCTGCTGGGGGGCCCAGCGGAGTGACGCCCTACGGGGACTCAGATTAGACCTCGCCATCCCTGGGGGGCTGCGATCTGTGAAACTGTCGCCACTTTCGAGGGCTGCTGGGGGGCCCAGCGGAGTGACGCCCTACGGGGATTCAGATTAGACCTCGCCATTCCTGGGGGGCTGCGATCTGTGAAACTGTCGCCACTTTCGAGGGCTGCTGGGGGGCCCAGCGGAGTGACGCCCTACGGGGATTCAGATTAGACCTCGCCATCCCTGGGGGGCTGCGATCTGTGAAACTGTCGCCACTTTCGAAGGCTGCGTGGGGGGCCCAGCGGAGTGACGCCCTACGGGGATACAGATTAGACCTCGCCATCCCTGGGGGGCTGCGATCTGTGAAACTGTCGCCACTTCGAAGGCTGCTGGGGGGCCAGCGGAGTGACGTCCTACGGGGACCAGATTAGACCTCGCCAGCGCTGGGGGGCTACGATCTGTGAAACTGTCGCCACTTTCGAGGGCTGCTGTGGGGCCCATGAAACTGTCGCCACTTTCGAGACCTGCTGCGGGGTCCAGCATAGTGACGTCCTACGCGGACGCAGATTGGACCCGTCATTCTACTTCGATTATCCCGCATCTGCGATCGACTGTATGTGTGCGAGGAACTAGACATGGAGTGGTCTGGCACTGACTGACGTCAAATCGTTGTGTGCCAGTGTCTCCTGGGGTGTTGCCTGATGTGGATGCAGCTCGTCGGCGCTGCGACTCGAGCTGGCGGTCGTCCTTCGGACCCGCAGAAACATCTGCTGAGCTCGATGAGCTAGGGGAACTACAGGAAAGAAGTGCAGGAAACGGAGGCCGGTCATGCACTCGCCGATACCTCGTTGCTCTGTCATCGTCTTTGCTGTTGCATGATCCTTATCTGGCCTGCCGGCGCCGCGGCTCGAGCTGGCGGTCGCCCTTCGGGCCCGCGGGAACATCTTCTGAGACAAGTGGACGCCGCCGCCTTACTTGCAGGCAGCGCATTGCATTCGCGGACAGCAGCATGGCAGACCGCAGTGAGATCCTCAGTCGCGTGGTGTTGCCAAGCCTGGTGGAGACGCGCGTGATCGACCTGAAGTCCCAATCGCGCGTGCACTGTACCTGCGTGGCGTTCAGGCACGCGCGTGATGCTGCTCGCTCCGCGTTCAACCAGTACGTCGCCAGTGCAACTTTGGACGATGGACAACCGATTGATGATACGCGACCCCGGCCTTGAGTTTCTTTCCCGCGGGCCGCCCGCAGACCTGGCGGCGCGCCTGCGAGCGTTCAGCTCCCGCGCTGAAGTGTGCGGGAAGAGGCGGAGAAGCTAGCGGGCGAGCTACGCCTCGCTCGTTCCTCGCACTCTAAACAAGTTTATCATGTGGAACTCTGCGACGACATGGCGCAGGCAGCGCTGCGGGTTTAGCTCGCACTTGAAAAACGCGGCAGTCTTCTGTCCCCTCCCGCCACTTTCATCGTCGTCCTATTCCCCGCCTCACCTTCTCCATGCATGCTGCTGCTTCCGCGATGGCCTTTCGCCCCCCCCGCCCTCCATTCCATCCCTCTCCTACCCCTCGTTCCCGTACCCGTTCTTCTTCGATCCTGGGGCCTCAAGACTCGTTCTTTCGATCGTCGTCCTGTGAATCGTGCAACGCATGCGCATCCCATGTAGCTTGCACAGCAAATCGCCGCGTCTACACTGTCGCTGTTCCTGCTAATGTTGGCATACTCATCTTGCCATTTGATGCACGTGGGTTGGGTACGTCGCAGGGTAATTTTCTGGGGCAGATCGGATCTTTGGGACATCCAGAAACAAAAAAGGGCACTCGTCTCCCAGTCCCTCCTCGTCGGGCGTGGACTAACCTGGCCCGACGCAAAGCAGGCTCAACCGAGTTAGAGGAATGACTGCGTTGCAGGTTACTCGGGGGGGGTCCTGCAGGACCCAGCGCTGTGGACGAGCCCCGTTTGCGCTGAACCCCGACGATCTGGCCCCAAAGAGAAATTACCCTGGCGACGTACCCAACCCTTGCGCAATGCGGGGCATAAGTACATCAAGATTGCTAAACGGGGGCGATGACGTAACATGGACGCATGTGATTTTGCGAGCAACAATCGGCAGGCTCGCATGCCTCGAAAGTGGCGACGGTTTCGCAGATCGCAGCCCCCAGGGACGGCGAGGCGCCTCAGTCCGCAGGACCCACCAGCAGCCCTCGAAAGTGACGACAGTGTCGCAGATCGCAGGCCCCCAAGGGCGGCGAGGTCTATCTCAGATCCCCGCGAAGCCCCAGTCCGCAGGACCCACCAGCAGCCCTCGAAAGTGGCGACAGTGCAACCCCCCAGGGACGACAAGGTCTACCTCAGATCCCCTTGGTGCCTCAGTCCGCTGGACCCACCAGCAGCCCTCGAAAGTGGCGACAGTGTCGCAGATCGCAGCCCCCCAGGGACGGCGAGGTCTACCTCAGATCCCCGCGAAGCCTCAGTCCGCAGGGCCCACACGCAGTCCTCGAAAGTGGCGACAGTGTCGCAGATCGCAGCCCCCTTAAGGACGGCGAGGTCAGGCTCAGATCCCCGCGGTGCCTCAGTCCGCTGGACCCACCCACCAGCAGCCCTCGAAAGTGGCGACAGTGTCGCAGATCGCAGCCCCCCAGGGACGGCGAGGTCGATCTCAGATCCCCGCGGTGCCTCAGTCCGCAGGACCCACCAGCAGCCCTCGAAAGTGGCGACAGTGTCGCAGATCGCAGCCCCCCAGGGACGGCGAGGTCTCGCTCAGATCCCCGCGGTGCCTCAGTCCGCAGGACCCACCAGCAGCCCTCGAAAGTGGCGACAGTGTCGCAGATCGCAGCCCCCCAGGGACGGCGAGGTCTCGCTCAGATCCCCGCGGTGCCTCAGTCCGCTGGACCCACCAGCAGCCCTCGAAAGTGGCGACTGTGTCGCAGATCGCAGCCCCCCACCAGATGCGCAAGGCAAGAGGAGACAAGAGGGGAGCGGGAGACGGGAGGCGGGAGGAGAACTGGAGACCGGAGTCCTCTATTCAAAACGAATACCCAACCAAGGAGGGTTTGGGGGGAAAACAACAACTCTGAGGCCTCTGGGAACTCATTGGGTATCGCGACAAAAAGGCTAAGGCTAGATTGTCCCAGTCTTTGCCGGCGCCCACAAACAAGGCGAGGGGGGCTTCGAAGAAAGCAAACGCTCTCTCAGAAACCCTCCTGGCTTCTGCTCCTGGGAGGCCTTCTTAGAAGCCGGGAGGGCCCTTCCAAAAAGCCGCCTGTGCGCTTAGAGACCATCCGCCTTCTCAGAGGCCACGGTCCTCGGGCCTCCCCCCCTGCGGGCCGCCAACTGAATGGCGCTGGCTCAGCCCCGTTCGCGGTGAACCCCGTTGCCCGTCGGCTGGCCCAAAAATTGGCATGGGGGACACGGGTCCTGCGGGAAACGGGTCCTGGACCCGGGTGCCTTCTCCCGAGACAGGGTTGCCATCTCGCGTCGTTTCCTGACAGCCCTGGGGCGGAAGCTGAAAGCAACGGAAAAGCTCAGGACCCGTTTCCCTCAGGACCCGTTCTCCCCACGGCCACAAAGGCGCGGCAAAAGCGCGGGACGGCGGCCGCCGGTCCGCGCGCAGCACCTCCGGGAGCGTCCGCAGCACGGCGCCGCACTGGCGCGCGACGCGTCGGGGGCGTGGGGGGGGGAGGGCGCGGCGGGCACCGGCGAAGCGGCGGGGAGGGGGCCGAAACTTCTGTCGGGGGCGACGATGGGGGCGAATACAGTCGGGGCGTTGACCTAAGGAACCCAAAATAAGGAACGAGGCCCCTTTTTCTCCATAAGTTAAACTTCGATTTCCGATCGAAAGCATAAGGAAAATCTAAGGCAAGCTGCGAAACACGTAAGGAACACGGAGCCCCTCCCTAACGAAAAGGGTTCCTTCTTCAGGGCCCCGACTGTAGCCCAGGGGGGAGCAACACGTGTATCCAAGGGCGCCGACGGTCCGAGTCTTCAGCGAGAAGGGCGGCAGTGTGTGCCACATCAGCGACAGAGCTGGCAGCACCTCGTGCGAGAGAGCGGCAGCACGCGGTGTGCCAGCTACAGCGACGGGGTGTGTCATGCGAGCAGGGCCACGACACGTCAGCTACAACGCTCGGAATAGTCCGGGCGAGGAGGACGGCGAAATGGAAAGGGGTGCCAAGCGTGCACGGCAGGTTCGGAAGGAAGCTGGAGCGGCACCGTCAGCTTCAGCTCGGAACCGAGATTCGACGCCCAGCCTCATCGCCCAGGAAGGCCTGGGGGGAGGTGCTGCAAGGTGGTGCGTCCTTGCTCGAGTTTTGGTCGGTTTGCTGACTGACTCTTGAATCATCGGAGTGGTAAATCAATGCTGGGTCCTCCTCCTCCTACTCCTCCTACTCCTCCTCCTCCTCCTCCTCCTCCTCCTCCTCCTCCTCCTCTTCCTCCTCCTCCTCCTCCTCCTCCTCCTCCTCCTCCTGCCTCGTCCCTCCCTCCGACCTCCTCATTGTATGCCTCCTCCTCCTCCTCCTCCTCCTCCTTCCCCTCCTCCGGCCCTGCCCTCTCCTCTCTTCCATCCTCCGCGCGCGAACCCGCGATGACGCAGGGAGCAGGAGGGGGGAATGCGCAGGCGCAGGGGAGGCGGAGGAAGGAGGAACACGAGGCAGATGGAGGAGCACGGGACGGGGAGGAGAGGGAAGAGGGCCGGGAGGAGGGGCAGCGGCGCGCTGGCGGGGAAGAGAGGACTCGGGCCTGGCGGCCGCCTCGTGGTCCTCCTCCCCCTCCTGCCCTTCGCTCCTGCAGCCTCTCGCCGCACACCTCGTGTTCCCCCCCTCTTCCTCGCACTGAGAGCTCCAGGACCCTTCGTGTTGTCCCTCTGCCTCCCCTCCCAGCTCCTCGCGCGCGCGCCCACGCGCGGGGGGGGCGGGATGATGGGATGAACACGCGGGGCAGGAAGGGGAGGTGACATTTTCGGCGGCGAGCGAGGGATGGAAATGAAAAGGAGGAGTCCTTCTCAGAAGGCGGAGCCCTCGCGCCTTCTGAGTTTGTTCTGTCTTGCGCGAAGGCTGAACAACTTCTCAGAAGGCCGTGGGGCTTCCGAACCTTCCAAGAAGGCCTTCTCCTTCTCACTTTCCCCCCTCGCTCGCCGCCGAAATTTCCCGATTTAGCAATTGAGAAGACCGGGGTCAAGATGCTATTCGCTCATGTGTAGCGCCGTCACGCGCAGCGATGGCGAAGTATCGAACCTGGCCCGCTTCTGACTCGAAGCCAATACTCGAATCCGCGGCTGCCACTCTCTCGTCGCACGTCTGCCGCCACGATCGATCCCACCCGTAGTCCTCCCGAAGCGCAGGGCCAGACGCGCGTCATGCACACGCGCGCTGCCTGCGCTCCTCGACTCTGCCCCGGATTCGGCGGTGGACAGACCTCCCTTTGGTAAACCTCCCCTCAGTGAAAACGGCCTGGGATTCCGAGTGGATGCCTTCACGGCTGCAGGCTCCTGCCAACACAAGATGAGCAAATCCGAATTCATGACGAAACTCTTGTGACGCCGATGTATAGTCGGCGATGGACAAACCTCCCTTTAGTAAACCTCCCCTTAGTGAAAGCGGCCTGGGACCGAAACCGACGGACCTGGACCCGCAAAAGTGACGGCCGCGACGCCCTCTCGCGAACCGAAAACGGCCAATGCGCTGATCGACGTGCCAGGGTAGGAGGTCAATCCACCTGCGACAGGTGCAGGAAAGTGCACACGTGGAAAGAGAAGCTTGCGCGTGCAGCGGGGCACGCCGCTTGAAGCATGCTCCGCACACGCGAGCTCCGCTCCCGCTCCCCACCGCCGACCGTGCCGCGGAGCCCAGACACGCGAGCCCGGGGGGGAGCCGTGCCTGCTTCACTGCCGCGCGCGCGAGCTCCCGGTCTGCGCCCAGCCGCTCAGCTGCGTGAGACAACCTCCGCGGAGGGCGGGCTATTCCCCCCAACGATGTGCTCCCCAACGGATCGAGGATCGAGGCAGGCCTTCGCGGACCCTGGTGCGCGTGTCTGGGATCCCGGGGCGGCGTGCCTGAGCGATCTTGGGAGCCCGTGAGCAGGAACGGTTGGAGGCCGGGTGCACGACACAGGCTCAAGGATGCAGAAGAGCTGCAAGGCTGAGAAGAGGCCAGCCATAACAAGAAGAATAATAGCAAGAAGCACAAGCACAGTAGTAATACCAATCACAAGCACAGTAGTAATACCAATCATACGAATCATCACCCTAAATATAATCATACGATCATAAACAAATACATGAACGAATAAATACATACTCCTCCACCATGCCCTTGAGGCACGAGCTGGAGTGGCCTAACGTCCCTTGTTGGATCCCCTGGAGCCTCAGTCCCCAGTCCTGAAGATGCTTCCAACGGCACCGCGCCAGAACTTGCCAGGTCTCTTGGGGCGCGCCACGTGGCTCCCGGGATCTGTCGCGTCGTGTCGCACGTGGCTTGTTTGGGGCCCAAGACGCCCCCAAGACGGGCCAAAAGTGGGCCCCAGACAGGCCCCAAAGACGGTCTGAAAGGGCCCCGAGTCGCCGAGCAACCGGTCCCAGTCGCCAAAGGTGGCTCCAAGGCGGCCCAAGAAGCCTTCGATGCGCCCGAAGGGGACTCTCAGAGCCTTGCCAGATGGCCCCGAGAGGCCACAATCAGTGATGTTCCTTAGATTCTCCCAGCATCCTGAGTGGGCCCATGTTTCCTTAGAACACCCTCGCCTCCTCCCTCCTCCTCCTCCTCCTTCTCCTCCTCCTCCTTCTCTTCCCGACCACTACTGCCACTACTGCTGCATCCACTACTGCCACTACTTCTACGGCCGCCACCACTACCGCTACTGCCGCTACTACCATTACCACCGCTACTACAACTGCTACCGCTACCGAGGCCAACCCCGAGCCCGAACGCCGTCCGAAACGGCCCCAGGGGAAGGCCACGGGAGGAATGGGTCGAGAGACCCGGTGGGGGTTCAGCATGTGAAAGACAACCACGACCTTGGGCCTCTGGGGCCGACGAACTGCGCCCGCTAGCCGCTCCTCGGAAGCCAGACCTCCTCCTCCAGCATCGGCACGGCACGCTCGATGCTGCGCGGAGGGCCGTTGGGCGTGGCTTAATGGGGGGGTCATAAATGGGGGGGTCAAAAACGGTCCCCTTTCGTGCCCCTTTCGGGCCCCTCCGGAGCCCCAGGGGGCTCGTTTAGGTGCCGTTTGGGTACCTTTCCGGACCACCCTCGCCACCCCCCCATCTATGACCCCCCCATTATGCAACGCCCAGGGGGGGGGCGCAAGAGCTCCAGGAAAGCAGGCCTCGGGCTGCCCCTCATGCGTACCAGATTGCTCCTGGCCCCCCCCCCTTGCCCAGTCGACCCCCTGAGAGAACCCCAGGCTCCAGCACGTGCGGTGGCGGCCACCGACCACGCGGAGGGGTGCGGCACTGCCGGCGATGCGCGGGCGTCCCGCCTCTCGAGATCGTGGGGCGCAGGGCTCTCCACGGGGCTTCCGACCATTCTGACAAGCCCCCCCTTCCTTTAAGTCGGGCGTGTCCCCCTGCAGGGGGATGTTGGGCGAAAAATAGAACATACTCAAAAATACCCCCCAAATCTTCAAAGATTGCCATAAACATGATCGACCCACGAACCCGGAAAGGAATCGATAGAGATGTAACGCATGGCAACGTTTTCAAAGACACCTGATTGGGTGACGGGCAAGTGCAATGCTGATTGTATCGATCTTGATGTGCCGTGCCGAAGGCTGTGCTGTGCTTCACCGTGCTGAATTGCGATGTGTCATGCCGCGGTTGTGCTCTGTGGCGTCGTGGATCGAGTCTTCCTTTGCATCCCAGTCATGACCGAACTGATCTGGATCTTAAGCTCGACCTGCCTGAACACATAGTAGCTGCCCCAGAGCTAATTGACAGGGGGACAGGCCAGGAGGACGCGCCGCGAAACGTCCCAAGGGACGCGCCAGGCGACGTGCCAGGGGACGTGCCATGGGGTCGCACCGTAGGACGTGCCAAGGGGACGCGCTACGGAACGTGCCAATGGATGTGCCACGGAATGTGCCAGGGGACGCGCCACGCGACGTGCCAGGGGGACTCGCCAAGGGAAGCCCCACGGAACGTGCCAAGGAACGTGCCAGGTTGCAATGCTGATTGTATCGATCTTGATGTACCGTGCCGAAGTCTGTGCTGTGCTGCACCGTGCTGAATTGCGATGTGCCATGCCGCAGTTGTGCTCTATAGCGTCGTGGATCGAGTCCTCCTTTGCATCCGAGTCCTGACCGAACTGATCTGGATCTTAAGCTCGAGCTGCCTGAACACATAGTATCTGCCGCAGAGCTAATTGACAGGGGGACATGCCAGGAGGACGCGCCGCGGAACGTCTCAAGGGACGCGCCAGGCGACATGCCAGGGGACGTGCCATGGGGACGCACCGCGGGACGTGCCAAGGGGACGCGCTACGGAACGTGCTGGGGACAAGCGTTTCGCTCGAGACATCCTGTCAAAATCCTCATTCTAGACATCCGCCTGAGCGACCTGGACACGTGAAAACAAACGTTTCGCTCAACACATCCTCAACACATTCTCATGCTAGACATCCGCCTGGGCGAACTGGACACGTGAAAACAAGTAGTTCGCTCGAGACATCCTCAACACATCTTCATGTGAGACGTCCGCCTGGGTGACCTGGGCACGTGAAAACAAGCGTTTCGCTCGAGACGTTTTCAATACCTCCTCATTCTAGACATCCGCCTTGGCGACCTGTACACGTGAAAACAAACGTCTGGCTCGAGACATCCTCAACACATCTTCATGTTATACATCCGCCTGGGCGACCTGGACACGTGAAAACAAGCGTATCTCTCGAGACATTCTCAACACATCCTCATGCTAGGCATCCGCCTTGGCAACCTGGACACGCGCAAACAAGCATCTCGAACGAGACTTCCTCAACACCTCCTCATTCTAGACATCCGCCTGGGCGACGAAGACGCGTGAAACCAAGCGTCTCGCTCGAGACATCCTCAACAAATCCTGGCGCTTGACCTCTGCCTGGGCAACCTGGAGGCGTGAAACCAAGCGTCTCGCAAGAGACATCCTCAAGACATGGGCACGTGAAACCATGTATTTCACTTGAGAGATCCTCTAGATTCTGGTCCCCAGGAGAGGACAATCTATAATACAAAACAAGCGTTTCGCTCGAGACATCCTCAACAAATTCTGAAAAATAAGCGTTTCGGTGGGGACATCCTCAAATTTTAATTCGCCGGCCCTACGCGACCTCGTTATTTATCGCAAAAGCAATTCGCCGGCCCTACAGCCCTCAGATCCGGGGGCAAACCCCTGAAAGAGAACCCTGGGCCTGTGCCCTTTCCGGGAAAAAATCGTCCCAAGACTAATTCCATACCTAGGCTCTGCCTGGAAGGGCTCTTACTCTGTTGGCTTAAAGGGGCCAGGCAGTGGAAAACGACCCGGGCGGTTCCCCCGGCATCCGCCCCGCGGTTCTCCCAGTCCCCTGGGAGCTTTACCTTGAACTTTAGCTTTAGCTTTAGCTTCAGCATTAGTCTTAGCTTAGCTTTAGCTTAGCTTTAGCTTAGCTCTAGCTTAGCTCTAGCTTAGCTCTAGCTTAGCTTTAGCTTAGCTGCAGCTCAGCTTTAGCTTAGCTGTAGATTTAGCTTAGCTGTAGCTTAGATATAGCTTAGGTTTAGCTTAGCTTTAGCGTAGCTGTAGCTTAACGTTAGCGTAGCTTTAGATTAGCTGTAGTAGAGCTTTCGTTTAGCTGTAGCTTAGATTTAGCGTATATTTAGCTTAGCTGTAGCTTAGCTGTAGCTTAGTTCTAGCTTAGCTTTAGCTTAGTTTAGCTTAGTTTTAAATTAGCTTTAGCTTAGCTTTAGCGTGGCTTTAGGTTGGCTTTAGCTTAGCTTTAGCTTAGCTTCAGCTTAGCTTCAGCTTAGCGTCAGTTTAGCTTGAGCTTAGATTTAGCTTAGTTTCAGCTTAACTTTATGTTAGCTTCAGCTTAGTTGTAGCTTAGCGTTCGCTTAGCTGCAGCTTAGCTATAGCGTAGCTTTGGCTTAGCTTTAGCTTATATGTAGTTTACAGTTAGCTTAGCTTTAAAGTAGCGTTAGCTTAGCGTTAGCTTAGCTTTAGCCTAGCTGTAGCTTAGCTTTAGCTTAGCTTCAGCTTAGCTGTTGCTTAGACTTAGCTTAGATTTAGCTTAGCTTTGGCTTAGCTTTAGCTTAGCTTTAGCTTAGCTTTAGCTTAGCTTTAGCTTTAGCTTTAGCTTATATGCAGTTTACCTTTAGCTTATCTTTAAATTAGCTTTAGCTTAGCGTTAGCTTAGCTTTAGCCTAGCTGTAGCTTAGCTTTAGCTTAGCTTCAGTTTAGCTGTTGCTTAGACTTAGCTTAGCTTTAGCTTAGCTTTAGCTTAGCTTTAGCTTAGCTTTAGCTTTAGCTTTAGCTTTAGTTTAGCTTTAGCGTACCTTTAGCTTAGCTAGCTTAGCTTTACTGTTACTACTTATGCTGCTTTCCTAGGGGCTCCAACTCCTAGGTAGGGTCGCACCGGGATAATTCTTGACTATTTTTGCATATCCCCCCTGTAGAGGGACAGGCCCGACTTAACCCTTCCTTCTCAGAGCCCTCCATCGCCCTCCCTCGCCCTGTCCCCCTTCTCTGCGAGCTGCCGACGCGCGCACCTGCAACAGGGAGAGCGCTGGCCGAAGGAAGCGAGAGAGGGCCCGACTGGAAACGGGCCCTGCCCCCCCCTGTGGCTGTATTCCAGAGGACCAACTTCTGATTCCGAGTGGATGCCTTCACGGCTGCAGGCTCCTGCCAACACAAGATGAGCAGATCTGAATTCATGACGAAACTCTTGTAACGCCGATGTATAGTCGGCGGTGGACAAACCTCCCTTTAGTAAACCTCCCCTTAGTGAAAACGACCTGGGACCGAAATCGACGGACCTGGACCCGCAAAAATGACGGCCGAGACGCTCTCGCGAACCGAAAACGGCAAATTCCTTAATCGACGTGTCAGGGTAGGAGGTCTATCCACCTCCGATACAGAAGGGGGGGCATCCAGCCTTGATACAGGGCGAGTCCGGATAGCCCCCCCCGGGTGTATCCCCGAGTTTCCCCCCCTCCCCCCTCTCTTTGAGCGGCAAAACTTGTTCGGGCGGAGCCCAGGGATTGGGGCAGGACCGGCAGCATCGAATCGGCATATCGGATCGAAGCGAAGTTTGCATCGGCTCGATGCCGCATCGGCATGGAATCGAAATCGAGCCTGATCGGCAGGGTCAGGATGCAAGACAGCGCCATGCAAGAACATCGGGCCAGATCCCAGACATGCGACGCCCTGATTATTTCAGGACGGCGTCCCTGGAAGTCCCGACCCTTTCTCCGGGACCGGTTTTTCGTCCTGAGTCGTGTTTTGACGGTCCCGAGGCCCGGCGAGGGCCCCCCGAGGCTGAAAACAGCCACAAACCTCCCGTCCTGAATTTTTTTGGCGACGCGACCATGTCTGGGATCGGATCGTCGGAACATCGACAGCGGCGACGCGACGGCGGAGGGCCGCGGCGGCGGCGGCCGGCAGGGGTCCGCCAGGGCCCGCCGGGGGGGGCCACGGGCGGGGCCACGCGCGGCCGTCGCGGCGCACGAGCTCGAGGACGAACTCGGCGTTGCCACGCAGGTCCTCACGGGCCGTCGGGTTTTTCTGCCTGTGCTGCCCGCGGCCCTCAGGGGGATCGGGGGGGGCAGGGCGCGAGCAGGCGCCTCTCTGACAGGCCGTGCCGAGCCGTCGTGGCTACATGTGGCAGCCTTTCACGCGCACGCGTCGCCCAACCGTACTGGCTGACTTTTCCTCGATGCATCTCTGGCTCCAAACGCCCCGCTGAAGCAGTGCAAACGAACGAGAGACGGAGCGCCGGAGGGAGCGGGGCCGAGGGAGGGGAGGAGAGGGGAGTGGGGAGGGGGCCGTCTGGGCGGCCTCGTGGCCCCTCTTCTGCGCCTCTTGAGGCATTAGTGTGGCCACGTCGGAAGGGCTCTGGTCCATTTTCCAGCCATGCGCATCCCTCTCAAGGCCCCCCAGGGGAGTAAGACGGGCGTACCCCAAATGTACAGCAGCTGGGCCAGGGCCCCAGGGCGTGGGAACCGATATTCGTCCATTGAATGTGTGTAGAGATCGGTCCCACTATCGATGCATAGACCGACTTACTGATTTGATCGAATATACATAAACCATACAAGCAAACGTATGTATACGTATATATGAGCACCTCATGTTTACATGCATACACATATAGAACACCAGATCGGGATTCATGCGTATGCATATGCCGATGCGTGCGTGTAATGTGAATGTACGTGTATGGCATACATGCACAGATGATGTATAAGTACGTACACCATATATGTGCATGTATAACTATGTATGAGCGTATAATTATCAGTATATCAACGTACAGCTATGGACGTGTACACCTATATTCAGCATTGTATATGTAAAAAAACAGCTACATCTACCGAACATAAGTTCACCTCCACCGTGCCCTCGAGCACGAGTTGGAGTATCCTCAGATCTCTTGCTCAATCTCCTGGAGCCCGTCCTGCATCCTGAGGGTCTCTTTTGGTGCCCGAGCCTCCAAGTCACAACTCTCCCAGGGCGTGGAGCGTGCCTCCTGAGGCGCGCGTCGCGTCCTGTCGCGTGACTTGTTCAAGCACCAGAGGGCCCCAAGACGGGCCAAGATGGCTCCGAGAGGTCGCTCAATCGGTTCGAGAGGGTTCCGAATCGCCGAGCAATCGGCCCAGGACGCCCAACATGGCCTCAAGTCTGGCACAAGAAGCATCCGAGAGGCCCAAGAGAGCCCCAAGAGGCATCCCAAGAGGGCCCTGAGATGTACAAATCACTTACTTTCCATTGGTGCTTACGCGTTTTTAGAGTTCTCGCATTTCCGAGCTTCCGACGCTCCAGAAGAGCCCACGAGCTCCCGAAGACCGCCACAAGACAGCCCAAGCCCCCCAAAGGGCTCCGAGACGGCCCAAGAGGGCTCCGAGACGGTCTCCAAGACAGCCCCAAGAAGGGCCCAAGCAAGAGCCTCCACAAGAGGCCCCCAAGAATCACCAAGAGGCCACCAAGAGGGCCCAACGACGCCCCCAGAGGCACCCAAACGGCCCCAAGAGGCTTCAAAACGGCCCCCAAGATGCCCCTGAGAGGCCTCCTACGACATCCCAGCGAACATCCTAGAGGCCTATGGCCCACGACCTAGGCACGGTGGCGGGATGTGCCGAACAAAAATTAGATGTATCGACCTCGATCGATCGAACTATATGTTGACCAATGTCACTACCAATGCATCGTTCACATTCTCTACCTATCTGGGCAACCATCGGGAGAAACCACCGGGACAACCATCGCGACAACCACCGGGGCAACCATCGGGACAATCATCGGTACAACCATCGGGACAACCTTTCCATCCATCAATGAACTCCAGTCGGACTGCCTATCTATCGGTTTGATGGTCTATCTATCGATCTCGCGATCCATCGGTCTCACGTTGTATATATATATACACCGATAACAGTATCTACCATAGCTACATATATATATATCACCATCACGACCCAATCATATCCATGCGTAGATATAGATCTCACTATCTCCATATTTAGATGACACTCTATAGATCAACCTATACCGATCTCACCACGATGATTTGCACGATGTGTATCTATAGATCCAGGGTGTCGGGTGCCCACGTCCCCCCCCTCAGATGGTCTGGTTCCCAGGGTTCCCACGTCCCCACCCCCCAACTGTTATTGGGGGGGGCGGCGGCGACGACGACGGCAACGACGATGGAGACGGCGACAGCGGCGACGACGGCGACGACGACGGTGACGACGACGGCGGCGACGACGACGACAGTGAAGACGACGACGACGACGATGACGGCGCTGCCTTTGCTGACGACTACGCCAG